TCAAAGGCCAAGGCTCAAGTGCATTTGCGGCGCCGAGGCCAAAAGGAGAAAGAGAGCGATAGAGGCAGGAGTGGCAGCAACTATAAGCGAACCTTCAACCTTCCCCACTTGACCTCCAACAGCAAGGGCACTTCTTGCGACGGGCGCCAAGAGCTCCGCCTTGAATGAAGGCAAGGAACCGGCTGCCCCTGCAGGAAAGCGCCCTTACTTGAGCACCTCCACGGAGGGAACCCCAAGAAGGTTGAAGAAGCCGCGCAACGACAGTAAAGTCGCTGCACCTTCCAAAACCTTCACGAAGGCCATCGTGAGACACCTCAAGGTTGCCAAAAAGAGTTTGTGCTCGAGTCTTGGCCTTCACCTGCCGATATGAAGGAGATGTTTCCAAGTGACTTGTCCACCTTCCTGGAAAGGACAGAATGGACGATGACCTAGAAGGACAACTCCTCGCGAGGATGTACAATGGGCCACATGTGGCCTAAGCGGTCTGTCCATCAACGTACAGTGTAGGTAAGTTGAGACTGGCCTGAACGAATTGTTCATTCAGATAATCTGATCATCGTTTCTATCAATTTTGGGAAATAATCCCACCAACATATGGAGTAATTCAACGATTGCAATAACGTACAATAAACATTTCCAAAAATCCACTGGCACTCCCAATAATTCTCATAATACAAAGACATTACTGATGGCCTACTGTGCTTACCACGCTACAGGGCGTTGGCCTCACTATTGATAACGTTTGTTTCCGCTAATAACAACCTTATCGAAGAATTCGTCGATTACGTATTCACAAATCGAGGCGTACATGGGAATTAAAAACACATGAATCACATTCATAACTAACCTAGCCAACTCAGCGATTTTGTTGGGGCGGCGTGGGAGTAATTTTATGTTCATTACAGCACATAGTTCGGATTCCTTCGAAGCCAGATTTGTTGTTTGAGATCTTCATTAACCGGAACTTCGGTGAATATAGAAATTTGAGTTTGGGATGATCTATTTATAACTTAATGAGAAATTTGAGATAGAAAATCTATAGGTTGGGACGGTACGGAAGGATGGGACGTACAGACAGTACCCATAATATTTTTTATAAAACTGTGACATTGATTTCCTTAGTGATGCACGTACCAGGGAGTCCCGGTCGGGGCGACATGATCCGCACCCTCTGACGTGCTCGAAAAGTCAAAAATAGTCCAGTCATCTTTGTAACCTCACCTCAAAATTTCAGATACCCAGCTGAAAACTCGTTTAAACTTGTATTTTGACGTTCTAAAAGTTGTCTCAAAACCTTAATTTGGTAGGGTCTACGCAACTATTGAAATAAAGGGTGTCAAGGTCACAAAAACCGATTTTATGTACATGTTCTGCAAATATCTCGTTTTCTATGGGGTTTTCGCTACTTATATTCATAATCGATATTGTAGAGAGTTAAATTCCCCACAACTTTAGCTACGAAATTTTTTCATACGTTGAATCGTTTTAGAAATAGATGGCGGAGAGCGCGCGGTTAGAGTATCATTTAAAGTTAACCGTTAGTCGCGGTCAAAAATATGCCATATACAGTTTATTAACTATGGATAAATACATAATTATTGATAATTTTGATTCCTCATTAACTATTTCATTTTATTCAATAGTTATTTTCCTTACGTATCTATTTTTAAGTAAGTATCAGTTTATTTGATAANGTGTGTTCCATCGTGTAGTATTCCAAAGTTCACTTCTTTACCGTCTTCAATGATATTTGTCCTTAGCTCTTCCATAATTTCGGGGTCAAAGGTTATGTATTCATTGACATGGCTCTTATATGGAAAAACATTGAAGCAAACTTGCTCATTACACTAGCCACAAGCTGGAGAGTACTGTAACCCTGATTTCCTGCATCCATCGTGAACAACAACCACTCTTAAGTTGCAGAAACTTCCAGGAATTCGTTACGCATTGTCCAACACCATTCCTGGGATTCTAAAACATGCCTTAACTAAGTTTGAACTTGATAATGAACACGATTGCAATTTGATAGTTCGTACTATCGAAGTCTATTGAAAATACTTCTTCCCAACACAAGAACAAAATTACGGTCTCCCGACACGCGTTTCGCTAACCAAATTAGCGTCCTCAGTGGATCATTATGACTAATTTTCACCACTAGGTTAGCGATTTTTTCATAAATTTTGGTGGTTAGGTCCAAAGTGAGTGGGTCTATTCGATCCTACACCGCAACCCGCAAGGTTTTATTGTGGCTCATACGTATTCACACATCACCAAATAAACCCAGCTTTTAAACGAAGCCGATTAGTTTGTATGATGANTTTTCAATAACTCTAATTTTGTATTTTCTCTATGTTAGAAACTATCCCCTACATTTTTTCTCTAATATTTATCTGTTTTTCATTTATAATTATTACTTAAAAGACAAAACAAAGGACTGTTCGAAATAGAACCTTTATCGCTAGTCATAGAACTCATTCCACACTTTTCGATTTCCAAGCTTTCGAAGGCATCCAGAAACCTTTTGCCATTTACGGGTCTCAACAATTTTAAACACTTCTCACTTATTATGTGGTCGTTCTCTATGGCATGTTGAGCAACACTAAACATGTTCCTTGTAGCGAGCTCACATAGTCCGTTTGGTTTGAGCAATATATTGGTCATTTAATGCTCTCTCTGCATTAAATTTATTTGTGCAATTGGCAATGTGCACAAGGCTATATGAAGTCCATGTAGCCTCTCCCTCCAGAAAAATGTGGAGAGGAGGTAGATCTAGAAGGATCTCCATGGTCGCTGACGGTGTGGTACTAATTGCATCACAGACAGCCAGACAAGCCTATCTCTGTAAGCCAGAAAACTTCGCCTGAGCTATTTCCTGTTAAGTCTTCAGTCACCAGACAATTGCTCCATACGTGATCATTGGTCTGACAATCATCACATATATCCAATAGATTTGTTTGGGAGCTAAACTCTAAGTTTTACCACGAATCCTTCGACATGTCCATAGGGAGAGTCTGGCTTTGTATAAAACTTTTTCCAAATGAGCGTTTCAGGTGAGTTTTTTATCAAGGACATTGTCACGATATTTCACCTTCGTTCCAAATGGAATGACATCACCATTGAGGGAAAGTGGCGTTAGATCGTCCAATTTTCTTCTTCTGATGAAGGGGATTGTCACAGTTTTGCTGGGGTTGACAGACATCTGCTTCCATCGTGCTTTGGAGGATATTACAAGCTACCCGTCTCGACGAGGACCTTGCCAAATTGAGAAGGTCATCTGCATAAGCTTGTAGATCTACTTTTCTTCTGTCGAGGGTATTGGGCAGACTACTTATCAGGAGCGACCACAGAAGGGGAGGCAGTACCCCACCTTAAGGGCCTAAGGACCTTATGGCGTCGCCTTGAAGAGTCGTAGCTGCAGTTCTGTTCACCAGCATGGTATAGATCCAGCCAGTTATAGTCGATTCTCCTTCTATATCGAGAAATACAGTAACCGCAATCTCCTTGTTACCAAGGGATTGGGAAATTTTCTCTAGAAGGTTGTTCAATGCTAAATCTGTCGATTTGCCGGTTTGATAAGCATACTGATGATGCATATAATACCACCGTCCAGTCCGTCCAGTATCCTCTTAAGTCCTTTCAACAGGAAGGATGTAAGGCTGATTGGTCGTACCGATTAAGGGTGTGGGTCTTTCCGACTGAAGTATTTGATAACTGCGCAGGTTGATTCAGTTTTGTAGACTTGACATATTGTGCATAACGAAGATAATCGATACTGTCCACAGATGTTGGAGCATCATAGACTGCCAACAAGATTTGAATTCCATTTTCGAATAATCTTTGAACCGAACAGTTTTCTTCTTCAAGCTGAAACCAGAGCCCAAAATTCATTTATTGTATTCGTTCGAAAATGTGCTTGTAAGACGACACTGCAGTAACGTTAGTTGCAAATTAATGTGGTAAAAAACCATAGGAAGTTTTAATTCAAATAGTTCATGATTATCTTCCACCGCTTAGTAACATCTACATCTACCAATCTATCAAAAACAAACCATTCGTGATCTAATATGAGCCATTGCCATCAGTCTTCTCAGTAGTGCTAGGCTTGAACAGAAAGAAAAGAACAAACCCGTATAGGAGAATGCGATGATGTTTTCCCTATCTATGAGATCTACAGAAAACTTAGTCTACGAATAACAAAGATGAGCCAAGCCCCCTAAACCGTTGCAAAACCAGAATCTACTTTGGCCACCGAACCTCTAAAGGCTCAGGTTTCAACTAGTGAGAGCTGCAGTTAAAGATAGAAGACGCATTTCATTTGGCAGTCGATGTCAAAGACTGGCTTTGCAACTGCCCGCTTTGGCGAACCTCATTTATCTTTGATATTCATGGACTGAGTTTTCTATCGATCCCAAAGATAGGAGACATCTCATTACAGTTCCATGTTTAGGTTTGATTCATAAGTACAGTTGAGCGACGCAATCGTGGATCCTCGTAGCTCTATTGATAAGTGCTACGGTGGGTTGCTGCCTGGTGGTTGAGAGAATTATTTGTAAGGCGGGTGTTACACGCTCCGTTTGGCATCAGTTCAGTCCACAACCTTGCTCACGAATGAACTGATGACAAACTGACTAACACATGAACGACATTACTCTATGTATGATAGACCCATGAACGACATCATTCTATGTATTATAGACCCACGAACGACATTACTCTATGTATAATAGGACCTTGAACGACATGACTCTATGTATGATAGACCCATGAACGACATTACTCTATGTATGATATTACTGTCTATTACTGATTATTGATAAAGTAATGTCGTTCAATGGTCAATCAGCTTGTCATCAGTTCATTCGTGATCAAGGTCATGGACTGAACTTATGCCAAACTGAGCGTATAACACTCGTCTAGCAACGTTGTAGACAAACGTCAAGAATTAAAATAAATATAGTTGATTTTCATCCATTTTCTTATACAAATCTTTTTTTTTTAGCTAATTTTCTTCGAAAGGAGTATGTGATTTCCAGTGCCAGTTAGGGGCTTCGGCCCGTGCATGGTCAAATAGACTGTTCCATCGAAATGAATGCTGCATCCGCCATCAATGTTCGATTGCTGTTCGTAGCCCATCTGATTTCCCTGCTGCAATATTCATCTGGTGAGTAAACTATTTTTTACATCACTGAGTGATTATATTTGGAACATCATTATGGAAAAACGTTCCCCACATCAAACTGTGGGCTCTGATGCCAAAAATCACGATACCCTTCTGCTTCCCATGTACAGTACAGAGAGGTAGAGAGTTAGTGAGAAGAGAAATATTGTTATAATTCAACAAATTTCGTGTGAATCAATTTGGGAAAAAGTTCTCAGGAAGTTCATTCCACATAAACGTCGCGTATTTCTGATATGTACCGCTCTTGCTAGAATCAAATGTGCCAAGTCTCTTGAACACTTCCCGTGAAAGTATCTATTGAAGGGAGACAAATCTCCAACCTATCTTCGATGTTCCAGGCTCTTTTCTGGATGGAATCCAGCAACTTCAGGGTATGTTTTAGGGCAGAGCTCCATGCATGAGAACAATACTCCTTAGACGTTCTGATTTGAGCTTTATAAAGCATCAAACTTTGCTGAGGTGCGTACAGTTTACTGGTTCGGAACAGTGTTCCAAACTTTTGAGAAGAAGTCTTTGCAATTCCAGTGAAATGATTGTGCCACGACATATTGGTGTCCATTTAACCCCCAACAAACTAATCAAAGCAGAAAGCGGAATTGTCTGTCCTGTCATTATTATATCCAGTTTGGAGACATGTATCTTCTTGGAGAAAATCGATGCCATGGTTTTTGTGGTATTAAATTGAACCTGGTTACTTTCAACCCAATTCGAAATCATTTATAGATCCTCATTAAGATATGCAACCTCCTGCTGCCGGTTAAGATGTGCCTCAGTAGCCAGTGTCCTGGAATCCAAATGAAATGACGAGAAAGTGTGCTGTCGTCAGGAAAGCAATATATTGGATTCTTGATTTTTTCCAATAAGTCGTTGATATACAATAAAAAGAGGGTTGATGGCTAATGATGAACGTATTCGAGAGATATCCATCGACGGCCATTTGCAGGGAACGTTGTTTCAGGAAGCTGAAGAGCCATACACAATGCTAAATACATAAATAAATTGAGAGGTTATTTTTAATTTAGGAATTTTCATACTCACTCACCAGACTGAACTTACAGCATTCGGAATTGGTTGACACGAATCATGTTAGGAACCAGAGTGGCGTTGTTCCCATGCCAGTTGTCGAACATGTTTGGAACAGACAGTTGTCGGTGTAGTAAAACCTCGATTTGATTGGTGTATTTTCAAATAATAATAATAATGTGGTTCCTGATACAAGTTGCAGGGCCTGCCGCGTGGCGCACGAGACGCTAATGCACTTGCTATCAGCATGTCCAGCATATGTGGTCTCGCCCTATATCCATCGACATAACGCGGCTATATTACCATCTACGGCACTCTTACGGTATTGACGAGACACCGGTGTTGCCCTACGCTCCGGGGATATTGAATCTGTTGTGGGGAACGAGAAGTGCCGGATTTATTGGAACTATTCGTTCCCCACCCTCAGGCTCATACAAGCTAATAAGCCTGATGTAGTCCTTCTCAATGTTTTTTATACTTCAGTTTAGTGTACACTATATTTTGTTTATATTTTTATATTCACAGGACATTCATGTATTTTATTTTATACTTACTAACTAGCTTCGTCAACAAGATTTTTTCTTGTGACAATAAAATCTCATTAGTATTAGTATGGCTGTCCGTACGATATGTGATTTTTCTATGAATATATGAAGTAACTTCCTTTTCTCCATGTTCAGAAATACAATTTCATGAGGCTTGTATGAGATAATTATATGAGAACCTAAGGCACAACTTTTGAACTTTTTGAATCTTATTTTTATATTGATTGATAAAACATAATTGAAAACTGAAAGCACAAAAGATTCACATGAGGACTTTTTCACATAATAAGGCAGAATATGTTGCTCACCATGAATGATTTTCAGTGCAGAATAGGCACATCGTAAGAGTATTAATAAATTTTTCAAATCTCAGATCTACATCCATCAAAACACCAAGATTTTTTGCTTTACTAACAATATCTGGTGGCTCATTTCGAATGCAGATATTTGCAGTTATTCACTAATGGAACGGTGAAATCTTGGACCAAAGATCATTACATTTGATTTGCTAGGGTTTATAAATGAACAGTGGTATGTTGCCAATTCAACAAATCTATTTATATCTGCATTGATAATGTCATAAGAATTGTCTGCCATTTTTGCCGGAAAGCTGTGGTATACTTGATTATTATCAGCATATAAATGCACCTGGCAAGTAAGTTGGATGTATATATGTGTATATATTAAGGACGGAGTGTGGATCCTTGAGGTACCCCTGGTTTGATATATAAAATATCTGAGTTGTATTCCTCTATACTAACTAGTTACTGTCTATTTTCAAATACTTCGTCAATAATGCAAGAACGCTGGCAGAAAAACCATTGAAAGCCAAAATGCTTAACAAAAGATTGTGATTGATAGTATCAAACGCCCGGCGGAAATCTAGGACTAACACCGTACATTTGTTCTCATCTATTGCTTCCATTATATCCGCAATATGTAGAAGGGCGATTGAACAGCTATGCCCTTTCCGAAATCCCGATTGAACAGAAGGCAACAGAGAAAAGTTCAAAATATGATTTTTAATTTGAAACTGTACTGTTCTCTCCAGGATTTTTGACAATACAGGCAGGATACTGATACCCCTCAAATCTTTAAATTCCATTGAATTTTGTGTTTTAGGCAGAACCTTCACAATGGCTCTTTTTCAGACAGTTGGGCAGACATTTTAAGTTAAACAGAAATGTATGATTTAGGTGATATAGGGCATCACAGCTGTATCAGCTTAATATTCAATCCATCGAATCCTTTACCGTTTGTTTTTATTTCACAAACAGTTTTGTAAACGAACAGATTGTTCAATGAATTCGGTATCAACTCGTTTCTTATTTTTATAAAAATTCAATTAATCTTGGGGTTGTTCATTTTGTTGAACTGATTCTCCAATATACCTATTCATGGGCGAAATACGCCCACGTATTAATCTGTTTAAAAAAACTGTTTTTCCGTTAATCAGCTGTCGCCCCTATACGAACGACAACTCTCAGAAGTTGGGAAACTTGTGTGAACTAAGGAATAACGAGGTCTTATCTCTTAACGTGTGATTCCTAACACGTGTGATTCTCTGGTTGATTAAATTACGCATTTGCCTATAGAAATCCAAGTGCCTTTGTAATTTCGTTCTCTTAAATTTTGCCAGAGCTTTATTTCTTGCAGCCATGGAGCTTTTGGTTTTGTTACTCAGGAAGTAGTTATTGGCATATGTTTATCAAATAATTTACTCAAACAATTTACCAAATTTGTAACTTTGTATTCAATACTTCTTTGGTCATATATTTAAAAAAATGAAGTATTGAACAGATCTATCTCAAAAAGATCTTGATTAAAGGCTTTGAAGCTCCTGTATGTACAGAGTTTGGTATCCTCTTGCTTTTCACGTATTCTCAACTTACAATATACTATATCGTGATCAGAAATGTTGTGAGATACTTATAATACCATTCTCTACCTCACTTCCCTCTTGGACTATAACATAGTACAAAAGACTTGCCGATGTGGCTGTAACCCTAGTAGGAACATCCATCAACTGACAAAGATTCAGTGTATTCAGTATTGAGTAAAACTTTTTCACACAACTGTTTTCATTACCCAATAAATTTAAATTACCATACAACCATAATGTTGTATGGCCGACTTGCTCATGTCTTGGAAGCAACAGGTTGTTTTCTACTCAGTGTTTTTTTCGTTGTGCACGGTAAATTGGGACAATCCCGGACTGACTTTATGTTTGACTCATCTAGATGTATTTTATTAATGTTTGCCCAATTTATTATTATAACAGAGCCACATAACCTCATTGCAATTGTAAGTAGTTTCGTCCTCTAAAATTCTTCAGATTTTCACGTGTTTTATCAATTTTATGGAATCCCTGAGGATGATAATGAATCTTCTCGAAAGTTTGGAATCTGTGTTGTAAGAGTACACTTATTGGTCTGCCGCAATCATCAAATATAGTTTTTCTCTGGTATCTTTCTGGTCTCTTTCTCTCTCTTTCAAAGATAGATGGCCTCTAAATGTGCCATCTATCTTTGAAAATACTATCAAAAACTACCGTTTGTGTGTGTTCCATCGAAGGTAATCTCCAATTTCAGCAAGATATAAAATTACTTCTCCTAACATAGATATGTTTCATTGAGGCTACAGAAATACCGTAACGTCATCATCATTATCTACACAAAGACGCATTATTTGTTGATTACATATTACCAGAGATAAATATAGGTTAGTGCATTCGTTTCATCCTGAACCACCGAATATCAATGGCAACCAATTATTTTTAATGATAGATAAGCCAGCGCTAGCCAAAGAAATTAGTTCAACGAAAGAAAAAGAGAATGCAGTATGAATCATGAGGCAGTGATTTATTTTAATCTTACGTGGTGCTTTCACTAGATCTATGCTTGAGGATCACTAGATCCATGCTTGAGAAAAGATCAACGAAACATACGAAACGAATTCGAATGTTTGAGAACCAGCAAAATTGCAGAGTTGGGCACTACAGAAGTGAAAAGTTTATGAAAATAATTACTTTCCTCTGACCAAGATTTAACGCAAACCCAGTGTTTAAAATTAGTGGAAGCTGAAGTTCCTCACAAACTACATATAAATATTCCACAGGTCCAGTACTATTCGTTGTGTCCATGGATAATACGTGGACTGAAATAAGTCAAATGTTCTAATTTCGCGGTCTGCGTTAAATCGATTAGATATTAATTATTGGTCTGACCCCTCTGGACCTGTACGTTAAGGAGGTTGTGTTAATGGTCATGTTATGATTGCGCGCGGCTGGTGTAAACCTCGAAGTAGGAATGGATCAATTGAGGCTAAGCCTATGGCGAGAAGCGTTTACTGCGCAACCTCTGCCGCAGGCACCCAGAATCAGATATATACAAATGACTCAAAACCCAAAGAAAA